TAATGATCTGGTGATCTGATCATAAAAAGCCACCAGGTTGGTCTGACAGGACCTGCCACTGATGAACCCGTGCTAATTGCCCCTAAGCATGCAGTCCCCTGCTGGCCCCTCCTGGATGTGTGCCAGAATTATTTTCTCAAACAGCTTGCCTAGGATTGAGGTAAGACTAACTGGCCTATAGTTTCCTGGGTCCTCCTTCCTCCCTTTTTTGAAGATTGGAACCACATTGGCCCTCTTCCACTCCTCCAGCACCTCTCCAGTGCACCATGAGAGCTCGTAAAGCTGTGCCAGGGGACCTGCAATGACCTCGGCCAGCTCCTTTAGAACTCTAGGGTGGAGATCTTTTTAAAAAGAAACAAGATTTCAAATCACAGCAACTAGGTGAAGTTCAAAAGGAAAGCAAGTACCTGAACTCAGGTGGGACATTATTCCTTTTAAAGACCAACAGGTTGACAGGTGAGACAGGCATAGGTGCCAACTTTTATTTTTGCCAAGGGGCACCTAAAATTATGCCCCCAAGCCCCCCCTTGGGCCTTGGGGCCCTGTCCTGCTGCCCTTCTGGAAGCCCTATGCCAGCTGCACCGCCATGGTGAGGTGCCCCCTACCCATCCAGCAACAGTGCGGGGCACAACTCCGTGCTGCTGACCCCATCCTTGCTACTGCTGGGTGGGCAGGAGGTGCTACGCCTTGGCAGTATGGCTGGCATGGGGCTTCCCATGCCCCCACCCCAGGACTGCGTGGCAGAGTCAGCCCCCACCCCCCGATCCACAGGCTGCCTGTGGCTCTGTCCTGCTCTCCACCCCAGATCCCATGCAATGCCCTGGCTAGGCAGAACCCCAGGCCCAACCCCTGTTCTATTCCCCGCCTCACTGTGGGGGCCTCAGTGTGCCCCACCACCTGCTAGAGACTTATCTGCAGGCAGCTGCAGGAGCTGCTCTTCACTGCTGCCTGGGGCTGTATTCCTGGCCATGTGCATGTGTCCACATGCACACACATGCATGTGGTGCCCTCTGCATCCTGCTCCCTGTAGCCCCTTGCAGGCTGGAACTCTGGCAGCCTGAAAGGGGAAACCCACCATTTCCCATGTTTTTCTGCAGTGAACAGAAAATCCAGATCCCTGCACAATACTGGGAATCCAGGACAAAAGCTGTCCCAGAGTTATGCAGCCAGGACTGGGACCTGATGTTCCCATTTCAGGACTGTCCCACCCAATTAAGGACAGGCTTCCAGAGGAGGGCCAAGCCTGTTGGGCCCCCCCATGCTCAGCGCCTACGGAGACACGTGATCTTCATCAAAGTCTCCGTTTCTTGACTTTTATTCCATTAGAAGGGTCATCAGGACAACACAACACACAAGTGTATGATCTCTGTTTAGGAGAGACAGCTGGTAGATTTTGGGATTGGTGAAGAAAAAGTTGAGTTTGCATTAGGTAATAGCACACAATAACCAAGGGGATTTTTACTGAAAGTTATGTAGAGACTGCACTTCATACATAGGCCAGGATCCGTTTTAGATGCTGTAGATAGTCAGACAGCCCAATAATTCTAGCTCTGGGCACTTATTCCTCTCCTACCTCTTATTTGCCAGCATCTATTCATGCTAGTAATTTTTTTCCTTGTAAGGGTATCTCTTTCTACAATCCTGTAACAGAAGGGATCCAGAACAGAAGGAAGCATGAAATACTTTAGACAGGCTGATCCTACCTTGTGCAAAAGGGCTGGACTAGTTGACCTCTCGAGGGCCCTTCCAGTCTTATTTTTATAATGAAGGACAAAGGTCTGTCTTCAGCTGCCAATTAGGATTGTACAACCAAAACATCATCAATTGGTTTAAGCCTTTTATTGTTGGCTAGACCCAATGATCACCTTGCAGCTGTTTAGCAATGCTGCTCCTTCCCAACCTCCCCCTGCCTTCTTCCGCCCAAGTTACACAGTTAGCAGAGTGCCCGGATGATTGGAAGTAGAAGGGACGTAACCTATTCTCTGGGAAGGTGAATGTGCTTAACCTCATCTTAGATGCTCTTAGAGCTACAATAAAAGAGAGATTTTAGATTTGACAAGTCTTTTGTGCAGTCAGTTTAAAAATAAAAGACTGACTAAACTACATCAATACTTTAAGGAATCCAGGAAAAAAGGAGGCTTAATTCATCAGCTGAATAAAATGTGGCCTGTGAAACTAAATGCGTGGGGGACTGGTGGGGGAAGGGGACAGAAATCTTGTCTTTAAGGGCACCTGTACACATGAAACAAGGCTGCTCCAATGTGCTGCAATTACAGCATAGAGCAGACTTGATTAGTTGAGTCTGCCGTAGCACAGTAATTACTAGGGCTGTGCAAAACGGCACTGTTCCATTTTGGCTTGAGTTTCGACAGTTTGATGGAACAGTGTTTTGTCTTGAATTTCATTTTGAGTTGAAACAGCTGCTCCGTTCCGTTGAAACAGAAAGGCTGTTTCGAGTTTCGCTGGGGATGGGAAGTCAGACCAGCTGGGCTGACTTCCCATCCCCAGCACTTAGATGGTGCCAGGGGTAGTCAAGCAGCCCAGCTGGGGTGCCTTCTGCTCCCAGCACAATCTAGTGCGGGGTACAGGGAAGCAGCCCAGCCAGGCTGCCACCCCACCCCCTACTGGATCTTGCTGGACTGATTTCCCACCCCCAGCCTATGGTCAAAACATTTCCACCAGCCTTGTTTTGTTTCGAGGCTGTTTCAAGGGCCTTTGTTTTGTTTCGATTTTGCTGTTTCAACTTTGAAATTGGTCGAAACTGTGTCAAAGCGAAACAGCCGGCGAAATTTTGCACGGCCCTAGTAATTACCATGCCCCAACAGACTCCAGCATCATGCATCAGTGTCCCTGTGCTGAAAAATGGCTCATTCATTTGATGAGCTTTAGTTAAAGTGCTCCCACCGCCATTTTTCAGTGCAGGGACACTGATACACGTGATGCTCCGGGCACTTTAGAGCAGCTCTCATAATCACTCTAATTAAAGTGTGCCCCCCCACTACTCCTGGAGCACGTGTATAAACATCCTAAGGTTTTACTCAGGTTTCAGTGTCTAAAAGAGGTTAGTCAGTACTTGCTCAAAACACCTTATTTAACTAGTTCTCAAATGGTGAGCATCCACATCACAAAAGTAACAAGCCCCCTTTCTTGCAGTCTCAGATATATGCCAAAGATTGCATGCATGGACCAGGGAGATAGCTCTGTTTCACCTTTAGCGGGTGCTCCAGGGGCAGGAGTTTGGGGTAGCTGGTACACTGGAAAACCACGCACTGTAGGAAGCAATCTGGTCCATTACACCTACAACACTGGTCATATCCATGCATTTTTCCAGGCTTATTATTGAAAACTATTTAGCTTAGCAACAACGAGAGCAAAAACCCTTCCCTGCAGCTATAAACTAAAGTCTAAGATGACCCTTTTCTAGCTGTCAGAGCTACGTGGAATGTTTTTTTTTCTTATAGGAATCACAAAATACCCTCTCAAAGGATATGTTGTAAAGTTGCCCAATGAAAGCTTTCCTAGCAGAATCCCAGACAAAATCCTTCCATTAAAAAAAAAAAAAGTGCACCTTATTCACAGATCTCCAATTACAACAACTGCTGAGTCAGAAACAGAACCAAGGAGTCCAGTGCCCACATTCTCACCCTAATAGTTTATAGACAAACCTTTAAAAAAACCCACTGTAGAGAAACTTCTCAAACTTCATATTCAGTAGGCACCTTAAGATCACTGGTGACTTTAACTCTTTTAATTAACTTCTCTGAACAAAATATTTACAACACATAACAGGTGGAAATATAGTAATACTTTTTTTCTGTACAGACTCTTCCCCCCTCCAAAATCTGGGATTGAGTTTTTTCCCTCCCAACCAAAATAGAACACTTATAGAGGATGGCGTCAATCCCAGTTACCGTTTCAAATAGTAAGCAGCAGGACAGTCAGAGGTACCTGGCATTCAGCTCTCCAGCAATGGGATGCGGTGCTCAGGAGTCTCTAGCTCAGAGGACTTATCTGGTTGTGACTAGAACTTACACCTCTAGGCTACATCTAAGGGGTGGGACGTGCATGTGGCTCAGTAGACATCACATTTGACAAAGCTTTAAAAGGGATTCTCTACAATAGGCCAAATCCCATAAAGTAGCAGTTGTGCCTCGTTCCTGTGGACTTTTGTTCTAACCTTGTGTGTTCCTTCAGTCTGCTCTACATTTCACCCATCTTCTAAACAGTTTTTCAAGAGTCTTTATGGACATCATCTTCCTGACTAGATGCAGACTGGAAGCTCCTGGACTTCACTCTTGCCACTGACTACCCTAGTAACTCAGCCTCTTTTTCCTTTCTTTGCACTCTTCGAAAGCACTGGGGGAATATATCCTATGTCCACTGTGATGTTGGTATACAGAGGGTGCTTCTTCCTAGCAAGGAGTATATACTCTATAGTATTCATTCCATCGTCCCTCCAGGTTTTTGTGGTGTCGTGCAGTGGAGCAGGCCTAAAGGGAGAAGAATACCTGTTCAGATAAGAGGTCAGTAAGGAAAGATGAAGACACACACATTCATCTGAGTGAACACAAAGTGAAGAAACTTCAGAGGTGAAAGGTATTACTTCGTAAGACCCAAGATTATCTTCATACAGAGAGGCACCAAATAAATACATAAACAAACCCTATTCTAGACAGGCACAAAGAGGAGATCTTTGTGTTGAGGAGCTGACTAGCAACTGCATAGCAAGGCTTCTAAACAAGGAAGGTGATCTGAACTAAAAGGGGAGACGAGCCATGGACTTCCAGGTAAAGGGGATAGGCAATGTTGCTGCTTTGTACAAGCAAAAAGAGACTGGCAACAGCAGCTACTGCATGTGTTGAAACCTGAAGACTTTGTTTGAGGAAACAAACGTAGAGAGGAGAGATTCAGAGTTGTACACAGCTTACCACAGGTTCACTTGTACACATAGAAGAGCTCAACATTAAAAATAATATAAACAGAAAATCTGAAGTGCCAGCGTGTACAGCCTCCATCATACATTAACCAATACTTCCCAACTCTATTGTGTATATAGGTCTGGGGGCGTTCATGTTAATGGTAAGTGGTAGGACTGTGCAAAGCTTTGGTCCCTGATTCGATGGAGATTTGGCCCAATTTGGTGGCTGAATCTCCAAATCCGAACTGAATCATAGGTCCCTTTAATCTCTCCAAATTGAATCGGAACCCTCTGAATCAATTTAGAAAAAGAGCCAGTGATTTGTACATAGACACAGCTTTACATGCTTTTTTCTACATGCTGCTAGGTACCAGGAATGCTGCGATGCTGGGGTACATGGAGTGTCCCACAGGAGCATGGGGGAGATCCCCAGTGTGTATGGCAGCAGACCCGGAAGTGAACTGGAAGCACTTCCAGTCCACTTCCAGGTCTGTTGGGGAGTGCACTGGGGGTCCCCCTTATGCCCTCCTGGATTGGCGACTGATGCCTCCTAGGTCTGGGGGGGCACCCGGGGTCCTCCCATGGCCGATCACCGAGCCAGGGGGGGACACCTTCCAAAACACTTGGTGGCGGACCCAGAAATGGACTGGAAATACTTCCAGTTCACTTCCAGGTTTGCTGTTGAGCATGTGGGGGCCCCCCGTGCTCCTGTGGGACACTCCATCCGCCCCAGCATCGCAGCGTTCACGAGCCGCACTGGTACCTCGAAGTATGTAGAAAAAAAAACATTTAAAAACTGTGTCTGTCTGAATCGCTGATTCTCCAAATCAGCGCTGAATCTTTAGATTCAGATTCAGTCAAATCAAATTGGGGACAGTGATCTGAATCAACAAATTGAATCGCTGTCCCCGATTCAGGCTGAATCCAAATCGAATACAACTCGTTTTGCACACCCCTAGTAAATGGGTCCAAATTTACTACTGTACTCATTTCTTTGGAAAGGGTTTGGATAAAGCTAAGTTGTCTACAACACCTTGCTACAGGCCTTTAAGGCATTTATCATCTATATGAGATGTATGTAAAGAGTTTTGAGGGAAGGGTCTTTAAATATTTACAAGACAAACTGAGTGACGACTGTGAATATTGTCAACCCAGAATAATTTGATAGTTTTAAATCTGAATCTCTGAAACTCTTGAATGACAGCTATCACAAGAAAATGCCTGAAATCATTCTTACTATCTCAAAGTTAAACTGCAATTGAAAAATCTACATTTCAATTATTTAGCCTTAGGAAGAAAATACAGTTCAGCTGTAACTGGCTTCAGACTCACTGTTAGCTTCCAGTATTTCTGCTATAGCAAATGTTCCCTTTCCATTCGTCTGTAGGCTGCCCGTAAAAAAGGACAGGAGATTGACTTAACTGAATAATGACTCATGCAAGGCAAGAAAATGTTTCCAAAGGTGAACTCCCCAAACAATGAACTTAGAAAAAACAGCCAGTTTTCTTTAAATGGCAGTATTCAAACATGAGGGAGATGAGTTTCTTGGGTTGGGCTTTCTGTCCCATCTAGGAAGGCAGGTGAAAGAGTTCTATCAGTATGTCATGCAGATCAGGGACTGCTCATGCAGGAATCCCACCATACTGAGGATACAGCATGCCTGCTGTTACCTTCTCAGGAGTTCTTCCCTCCCTGCGGTTTGCTCCTGATCCATCATTTTGTAGCGTCCAAGATGAATGGGGGTCCGGGCTATTTTCATTCCCGCTAACTGAATCCTTTAAAATGGAAATAAAGCAAAATTTGTGTTTATACATAAGGTTGCTACCTCTAAGCTCATCCTGGTATCAACACAACCAAAGAAAAACAAAAAAGAGCTGAAAAGGCAGTTCACTGAATCCAAGAAAAGGAAATGGCATTTAATGAATACCCAATATTTACATATGCCCCCAAAGCATACAGCAGCAAGGCACCACTGACTTACTCTTTGACTAGAAGAGAAATGGCTATGATGCTTGGTGGCTGAGGAGATAGAAGATCATTAAAGCAGAGAACAGACAGGGGAGGGTCATCCACAGAACAGCTCCCACATGTCCCGCAGAACAGTGTTTCATAATATAGGGCTCCTGCTGCTAAGTCAGTAAAAAAACCTAGACTCAGTCTTTTGTCTAACAGCTGTAGTTTCTGAAGAGAACTCATTTTTGCATTTATGGGAATTGTGTGATGGGAGTATTTCCTTTGTGGAACACCAGTGGTACATAACATGTACTACAGATGCAATGTGAAGTGGCCAGTGAAAATGCATTATTACTAACATGCAGGAAAAGATGGGGCTTTGGAATACCACTTTTCAAGTGCAGATAAGGCTCCACCTTACCAAACCATTGCTACCACTATCTTTGTTAAACATGCTGATGGTTCCTTCAGGTAAGTTTGGTCAATTAGCACTTTTAAAGTGTCTCTAATTTCATTTAGTAAAATTCCATGTATAGCCAGGACTGAGAGGAGGATAACAGCAGCAAAGTGCAAAGTAACATTCCTGCTCTGAATGCATTTGGAAGGGACCAGAGTTTCAAAAAGTATTTATATTACACTAAGGATACCAAATGATAAAAGCACAATGGGTTCACTAGTTCACTAGGAGGAAATGTTTAAGCATTAGATAAAATACCATTATCTCAAATTGGACCACAGCCAGGGGGTGGTATTTTCTGAGTGTTAACAAAGATCACTGCACATTTCACCAGGAAAGAGACATGTCAGAAAGCTCAACTAACTTTGCTGTTGCAATCCTTACTTTAACAGCAATAATGCAATTTGAATATTAAAAGGCTAAGGTAATACATTATTTTAAAAAATAAATCAGAGAGATCATTCCACTGAATTGCCTGCACTTCATAATGCTAACATTTCAATGGTCCCAATTAGACTAAGGTATTCACTTCTTATAGGAGGTGAATGCGGAGGATAAAGGTACTTTCTGGGAATGCTGTTTAGCCATGACTAGCTGACACAATGTGGAGCACCATTATCTGGCTATATGAACTGCAAGTTAATGGTTAATATGGTGGTAGCTGAAGTCTACTCTTAAAAAGTTGTGGTCTAATATGAAATCCTGATAGAGAAGGAAAGGACAGCAAGGGGTCATGCCTAGGGTTACCACACATCCGGGTTTTCCTGGACATGTCCTCTTTTTGGAACCTCCAATCTCTGTCTGGGTGGTGTCTGAGAACCAGTGTCCATGATTCTGCTTTGCTCTGCTGGTGGGAGGAGGGAAGGCAATTGGAGACAGGGGGCATCACATGCGTCCGTGTGCAAACACACGTGGCCAGAGTGGTGGGAGCATCCCTGGCGGCTGTACGCTGATAAGTCTATGGGGAGCAGAGATTGGAGGGTCAGGGCTTGGGGACTGTCCAGGGAGCTGTGGGAGGGGTATGTGTGTGGACGTGCATTTGAGGGGTGTGTGTGTGCATGCACGAGGGAGGCTGGTGCCTGCTAGCAGAAGGTGTATGAGCACTGGGGCTGTGGCAGGGCAGGGCAGGAGACAGGAACCTGCCCCTCCAGAGGGAAAGGGGGGCCCCTTTAAAGACAACGGGGAGCTCCATGGCCAGGTTGGTGGCACCAGAGTTGGTGCCCCTTCTCGAAGGGCAGGGCTGGCCAAGAGACACTGCTCAGGGAGGGTGTGGCTAGGCCACTTGGTGCAGCACTGCAGCCTCAGCCCAGGCGGGGGGTGGGGTGCAACAAGCAGCCTCTCTTCCCTCCAGCCCATGCCAGGGCCGGACTCGCTCAGCCACCTCCTGCATGAATTGGACTCGCTGTGCTGTGGCCTGGTCGGGACAGGGGCAGCTGGGGGCCCCTCTGGCAGGGCTGAGGGAAGAAGGGGGCTGTGGGTCAGGAGTGAGGGTCAGCAGCAGGGATTGGGGGGCTGCAGGTTGGGACTGAGAGGCACCAGCATAGCTTGGGGGTTGTGAGGGACTGTGGTTTGGGAGTGAGAGGCAGCAGCAGGGATGGGGGCTGCAGGTTGGGAGTGAGGGGCACTGGCAGGGTTAGGGGGCTGTGGGATGGGAGTGAGGTGTCCCCCTGACAGGTGTCCTCTCTTTTGGTACTGGAAATATGTTAACCTTATTCATGCTAACTTTCAAACTCAAGTCCATTTTTGCTGTTCCTTAAGGTAGGGCCTCAGTGTTTTGTAGAGCAGATCCATTTTAAGAGTATCAGCCTAGTCACTTAATAAAATCACTATTGACTTTAAGTGTTAGTCTCTACAGTCTGAATAATCTTTGATTAATCTCCACCTAAAGGGTTGGGCTGCTGATAACAAGTACTTCATTCTCACAGGATGTTTCATGAGATTTACTTTCTTTCTAGGCAACAGGCTTGATAGCATACACAAATGAACATAATCCTCCTTCCTTGCAATGGATTTCTTCCTTAATGTTAGTAGACTGAAATTCACAGGACTCGTGCATGGCACTTTACTGTTGACCCCTCCATGTTAAGAGAGCATGTTGGGCCATGAGGGTCTTTGAACAGATCTTGTGTGGTGGGTGGAGTGTGAATCTTCCATTTCTTTTTTGCTTAGATACCATTTATCCTGATATCCCATTCGTTAGAGTGAATGCTGAATCTCTAAAAAAAAGTTGTATGTTCCTTTCTCTGATGAAAGCAATTAAGTTCCTGTTAAACACCTAGCTTTCCATTCCCAGCAGCACAATACTTAATGAAACTCCCACAGTCCTTGAATAAAATGTTCCACTGAAGTTGCATAACTTGTCACACTGTGTACGAGCAAGAAAACAAGTAATATAACCACCCCATTAGTTTGCCTTAATGTCCACTGACAAAGAGCAGTATCACAGGTGAATTACAGCTACAAAGCTCACCAGGGAGACATGACCAAAGATGTCTTTACCATGTACTCTGCAGAGAATCACTAGGCAGACTGCAATTTAACTCTCATATCATGTCACCTCCCTAAGCAACAGAAGCTACAAGAAAAATGATAACATTTTGCAAAGTGACTCACATAGTACACAGTACATATGCCTTTATGATAGGTCACAGTCTGCAAGTATAAAGATAGGAATCAGGCTTCCATAAGTTACTCAGTTCCCAAGTACTGCACAGTTACTAAACAAGTCTCTTGGGTAGTATGTACCATGTCCCAAATCCCCTACTTTTAAATCAAAATCCACTAAATGTCTTGGTTACCTCCTGGGTTTTCTATCTCATCAGCCAGTGCATTCCCTCCTACAGAGCTGTCACGTTAAGAGGCAGTCAGCTGTCAATGACAGTTGGTTACAGAGCTTTTAGGAGAACCCTGGAGCCACTGGAGATGCAGGATTATTACACCGTGCAATGCTCTCTACCATTCAAAGTGCAAAGCTCACAGAAAAATGCCTCTAATAAAATTACAGATCTAAACATCTCCCAACACCAGCAGTCCTGCACCAACATTTTTGGCACTGAATTTTAGCACTCTGGAAGTTACAGATGTTGAGGATGAGTGCAAGAAAATCCAAGTTTATGTTAGAATTTTAGATTCCTTTTTTAAATTGCTCCATCCTTCCCATGAGTACCTTGCAGCAATGTCGTCTTCACTACCAGCACCCCAGTAGGTGTTAGGAAATCCATTCATCTTCATGTAGTGATCTGGTGTCAATGCAGATACACCCCCAAAAAAGGACAAATATGGCAAACTGGAGAGGAGAACAAAATGTCAAAAATCACAAGCTTACATCAGTCACCACGCAAAGCATCTTATGCTGTAATAAGCAGGGATCTTAGTTTTCTGTTTAAAAATCCAAAATTACCTGATAAAAACCCAAAGTTCTCAGATTAAAACCCCCCAAATCTGCATTTTTCCACAATTAAAATGAAAGGCCACTATATATATAATTGGGTTTTTATCAGATAATTTTGGATTTTTAAACAGAAAACTAGGATCCCTGCTTATTACAGCAAAGATGTATATATACATATACATACACATATATATACACATAGGTATCAGATGAACACAATGTTTTATTAATATATTTACAATTTTAAAGCAATTTGGAAGTCTACCAGTGCTTCAATCGTTATATAAAATAAATTCTAAATACCTAAATATTTTAGCGTTTGATTTTGTTTTGTTTATCATAGAAATTAGAGCTTTCCCTGCCCCCTTTGCTCATTAGGATGTGAGTGCAGCTGCAGCTGTTCCCACAGCTGCTTTGTGGCACTGAGCAGCACTGATATGCCAGTGCCCTGCCCCCGCCCCTCACTCCTAACCCCCTGCACCAGGCCACGGATCCAGCTCCAGCTGTCCTGCCTGCCGCTCTGTGGCTCTGAGCAGTGCCAGACCCAGCTGTTCTGCTCCCCGCACTTGTACCCAGGCTCGAGTGGTTCCCATGCCCTTCCTGGGAAACTCCTGACTGGGGTTCAGGGACTGGGCTGGGCCTATTGTTGGCTAGGCAAGCCCCTTCCCTTCCAGACTAGCCTCCCGCTGTACAGGCTGCTTTAGTGGGCCAGGGGTGCTCCAGGCCCATGTCTGGAGGCTGCTTCTACTTGGAGTGCCCCCCCCATTTCTCTCTCTCTCTTATACCCCTCCCACTGCTGCTACCCCCAGCCCATCACAAGCACACACAGACCCTGCTGCCACCCCCTGGCACTTCACAACCCGCCCCCCCAGGAGCCCTCCAAGGCCAGCAATGCTGGCAAGGCCTCAGGCCGGGCAGAGCAATATGAGGGCCAGCTGTGCTACTCCTCTTCTTCCCTCCCCACCCTGTCATGCAGTGCACCCGCAGCCACTGTCTCCAATGCTAGCCCCAGCAGAGTTGCCAGCAGCTGCTGCAGCCACAGGCTGGCAGGTTGTGGTGCAGCAGTGCAGTGAGGATGGGGCAGCAGCCACCAGCACACCAGATGGGCACTGCTCACCCCCAGAGCCCTGGTCCTGGGCACAGCCCCAGCTAGGCAGTGCCCCCAGCCCCAGCCCCTAACCCTGCCCTGAGGGCATCTCACTTGGTAAGCATGGGCGTGGCACATGCTCCTGCTCTCTCTCCCACTGAGCTGCTGCCCATGTCACCCCAGCTGGGAAGCACTTCCAGCCCCCGCCTGAGCCCACTTGGGATGAACCACAGCAGGGCAAGGTAGCCAACACCCACCTGGCCTTGGCCTATGGTGCAGGACAGGGCAATTGCTACCCACACAACCCTGCCTTGCCTCCTGCCCACCCTGCCAGCTCTCCCCGCAGGCCCTGGCCCCACTGGCAGCATGACCCTCACCCAACCTACAGGGTCCCCCCCAGCCCTTCCAGAGTAGGCCCTCAGCTGCCCCCCATCCCTACAGCCCAGCCCTGAAAAGTCCTACTTACTCCAAAGGCGGGAAAGTGAGTCTAAGCCAGCAGTGGCAACTCAGATTTTTAGGCCTCTACCTCCCACCCACTCTGGACAGGGCTTAGGGTTTGCTGCCTTTTTGCAAATAGCTGCTGCAGGCTGGAACTCTGCCAGCCTGCAGAGAGCTGTTTGCAAAAGGGGAAACCCATGTTTTCATGCTTCAAGGGGGGAAATCCACATTTTTCTTCATCTGTGGGAAATGGTTAACCCAGATTCCTGGTAATAAGACATGTGCATCTTCCTCTCATCTTATTGACCTGTATCAAACAAGAAGCTGGATGGTATTTACATGTGTATGCACAGTGTGCGAGTTGTCAAATGAAGGTACCTGGTAGAAAGCTTTAGTCCTTTTATAATAGGACCAAGATTTCAATGAAGTGCAACACAACAAATTCAGCATAGACTGCTTCTCCTAGCCCAGAAAAATTCAAAGGCCAACTGTTCTGCAGTTGAAAGGCATTTCTCTTCCCCACTGGGAGGGAAATACTGTAACTCTGCTCAGAGAAGAAGGAAAAGTTAATTACCCATCAGTTGCAGAATAGGAAGTGCCAGTTCATTTGTGCAACTACTGAAAGCAGCAAAGAGCTTCACTTAACGTCAGGTTTTGGTCTGCTGTGGTGTGATCCATAATAACTACCTAGCTGTGGGGAAGGACAGCCCAAGATGTCAGAAATGACTGTAGGTTGTAGTCTTCCCACCTCTCAAAGACACTGAGATTTCTACTTAGCAGGAGCACCGGGTCACACTGATGCTCCATATTGCTGAATGCCCCCAGTCCTGCACCTGCTGGAAGGAAAGGTTAACACAGACACCTCTCAGTGTCAAGTAGCAAAGGAAAATTCATTGGACTGGTACTCTAACAAATAAAACAAACTGCAGGCAACAACTGAAGATGCTATATTTAGGTCAGGCATGTTCTCCCTGCAACAGCCAATAAGGTGGAAAATGTAGTGAGGTCATGTCCTGCTATGTCAGGGGTTCCCAACTTTTTTATGCTGAGGACTGACAAATCGTGGACCAGAAGTGACCACAGACTGGCAAACTGCAGACCAGCAGTGCCAGCATACTGCAGGCAGGCAGCCAACTCTTTTTTTGCTGGTCCACAGTCACTTCCAGTCTGCGGCAGCCAACTCTCCTGCAGACCAGCAGCCAACCCTTCATGGACCAGGGGTTGGGAACCCCTGTGCTAATCATTGAAGTCTGGGCTGTTTGTGCCCTTAGAAGGAGCAGACTGTTTATTCTATCAAAAACGTCCAATCCTAATGTGAACGGAGGCTCTTGCCTGTATTGGAACTTGTCCACGGCACTAGCCATGTGTTTGGGGAAATATTCATCACAGATGTAGAGATTATAATCATTCTCAGGAACAAGGTCCACATCATGCAGGAGGAGGCAGTCCCAGTCCTCATCCTTCAGGACTTCTCGGACGCCAACGTTAAGGAGCTTTGCTCGGTTAAATGTGGTATTTCCAGCCTGGAAGAGAATATGTGCAGTTATTCACTCACCAAATCCTGGAGTACAGCAATGCAAGGCCCAAACTGGTTCAAGCTGAGTCTTGTGGCAAAGACTCCCTTGGACATCAGTTTGAAGGGAAGTGAAACAAGCATTCAAGTTGTTAGGCATTTTTGAAAGTTTTAGTCACTGTCTCCATAGTAGTGCCAGCACCTGTACAAACTTTAGAAAACTGGAGCCTTTTGCCCAATTAACTATACAAAGGAGTCTCATCTTTGAGAAACAAAGAAATACATTTTTAGCTACAAAGCCCTTCACATCCAAATTATGCCCCTCCTCCCTTTTTTTGCAAAAAGAAGCCGGAAAGTAGAAATGTAGCACAGCTACCAGCAACAAACAAAATACAGCACTCTTCTTCCCAATCAGTCATCAGTTTTCACCATTTAATTCAATGTTCTCCCTCTCCCTGCTAATCCTTAGCTGAAACACAATATATAGGTGGGTTCAGTTTACCTGCTGAATCAAGTAGATGCCATAATGGAGCTGCTGGCGCTGCAGGAAGGGATGAAGGTAATAGAGAAGGTGTCGAAGGTACTTTTCCTGGTTCTTGTGTGGTATAATAATGGCTGATTTGTAGCGAGCCAGGCAATGAGGAGGGCTGTAGCGGCCACCAGGCTGAACAAAGGGATTTTTGTTAATAATTGTTCTTTCACTGGGGAGCATATTGAAGCTGATCGTTAATGGACCAACTGCAAGAAATATAGGAGAGAAAAAAGAAAGAGAAAATAGTGAAAATGTGGTGAATAGAAGAATTTGATTCTAAAATACAACTCAAATCCATCAGGGGTGAGCAAAGCCAGGGGTCGGGGCAACTTAATGGGGTTTTGGTGAGCTGGGGTGAGGGGGAAGGGGAGGCAGCAGCAATCAATCCTATCTGGCCCTAGGTCCATCAGCCCTGCACCCAACTGCTGGGGGTGCTGGACAAGGTGGGTGGGCAGGGTCTCCAGGACATGCTTGGCCGGGCAGATGCGACAGGGCCATGGCTAAGTGGGAGGCAGTGTCCAGGAGTAAGCTGGGTGGGTGGGCCCATGATTGTGGGATGGTGACAGCACAGGGCTGGGGCCCAGGGCAGAGCTGCAATCCCTTTCCCGCATGTCCCGGTGACAGGCACTGGTTCCATGGGCAAGGACATGCAGAGAGTGGATCACAGCTGTCCCAGGCCCCAGCCCACTGCTATCACCGCCCCACTATTCTGGCCCCAGTACGCAACTGCCTGTCCTGCTCCTGGACGCTGCTCCATGTCTGCCTGTGGCCCTGTCCCATCCGCCCAGTCAAGTGCACCCTGCCAGAGGAGGTCCTGGGCCAATCTCCATGGAGACCCTGCCACCTACCCGCACTGCCTGCTGCCCCTGGCAGTGGGTGTGGAGTAGACAGGCCAGGGTGCCTGGGCAGTGGGGCCAGGACCAACAGCAGTGGAGACATTGGCAACAGCAGCTGAGCTGAGTGAGCCACCACCTCAGAGGCTGCCAAGAAACCAAATCTCTCTGCTGTGTTGCCCCTGCCCCACTGCATGCCCGAGGGCAGCAGGACTAGCTGTATGTGCCCTGTGCCTGGCGGGGGGACCCACCGCAGGCTGGATAGAACCCCCTGGCAAACGAAATCTGGCCTGCTGTCCACTCCTGGGATAAACCCTCCCATGTCAGCTGCTGAAGAGACTTAACTTGTAAGCAACATGAAGCTGTGGAGGCTGGTATAGTGCAGCATCTATCCTACTACAGTTTGAAACCTGCCAGTAAGTTCATTCAATGGTTCTTCCACAGTTTCATTTCTGTGTGTGTTGGCTTCCCATTGTTCAGGCTACCACCAAAGACCTGACTTCTGAAAAGTGTACTGTGTTAACTATAATGGTATCTTTAATAAAAAGTTATTCACCATTACAGAATGGTTGAAGGGAAAGTTAAAGAAATAAGCATATCTGAGTTTTACACCCCCCCTCCCAAATAAAAAGATAGCATCGGTGTTGCTTGTTTTCAAGCCTCAAGGACAAAAATATCTGAAATTTGATGGCTACATCCAGATTAGTTTAGTAGACAGAAGCTAGAAGGCAAGGCTGGTTAACTGGCTTTTAAAAACATTAATTCAAATATTTCTTTTTTAAAAAGAAACCTACTGAAACTTACATTTGAAGTATGACAACCTATATTAAGGAATGGAAAGAAGCAACAGGCTAAAAATCTGGGACCAGGGTCTGAAATGAAAAAACAGCTTGACAGCTACAGACCCTTGCAAGGGAAGAGAGTAATTTCCACATCTTAGTTTAATTCAGTTCAATAGCAGGCTTATTCACATTTGAGAAACTGACTGGGGGTCTGAAGAATCAGGGATGACTGTTTTGCTGCTACAAGTCTCTGAACATCAACTAGATGCGACTTGCTGAGATCTACAAGTTCTAAACACGTGAAGGATGACAACAGGAAGCGGGGGGTGTCATTCTTTACCCTCATTTAATAAATCAGTTTTAAAATTAAAAGCCTGTATCTAGTACGTTTGCTAAAAAAAAATGCGAAATTTTAAAATACAAATTTGCTGCATCTGAATTGAATTTTAATTCCCAAGTCGACATGCATCACAAGTAACAAATTAGTCATCTGCCAAATAAGAAATGTCATTCATCCTTTTTTAACATAATAAATGTAAAATTTAATGAGCATATGTTAAATTATGTAACTGCTTAAATACACAAGCCATGAAAAGCTACAAGTTATATTTAGCTGCAAATCAACATGTCTAAATGGTTACCAGCCAGTAAGAATCCACTTTCCATAAGGAAAATAACTAAAATGTATAAATGCAAAACAACACCAAAATTATTTAAAGCAGCAAGCAAGAAATTTTAAGTTAAATCATTAAAATCAGCAATTCATAATCACCAAGTCAATCCATTCTGCTTAAAGAAAGGGCGTTGTCTTTCTGCATTACCCAAAGACAAATGTCCTTCTTTTTCCAACAACAGTCTGAAGACCTATTAGTCTTTAGCAGTACCTGAGGTGTTTCCCAAGGCCATGGCCTCTGTCTACTGTTACACAAGCAGGTGCTCTGGAAATCAAATCCCTTTTAATATGAGCTTATTTCCAGGGTTTTTTTCCTCCCATACCATATCTCAGTATTAATGGTGGTCAAAGAGAGGAGTGACTGCACTGGCACTAGCCTAGTGCTTAGGGCACTTCACCTGGATGACAGGAATGACTGAATGGCTCCAGTGAACAGTCAAGTATTTTATACAGAACGCAGATGTAACAGGAGAGACTAAGAGACATGTATCCCAAATGACCTTTTAATACAAAAGTTAGGGCACTCTTGAGAAGTGAAATATCTGGGTCCAAGTACCCCAAATCCAAAAAGGGGTTTGAAACTGGATTTTTCCATGTCGCAGGTAAATGTTATGACCATTGGATTATCAAGTAAATTTTGATGCCAATACCAAGATCTTCTCTACTAAAATTCTGCCACATTTGTTTTATTGAAATAGAGAATGGCTGTTCTTCAGAAAATTATGCTGTGGAGGCACAGCTCCAAATTATTCTTGCCATGGTTTTGTGATCATTATGATTTTATTGGGTACTTTACAAAACCTTTGGTTTCCTGTTCTGCCTTAAAAAAACCCAAAACACCGCACTATTATCTGTAATGTTATATCTAACATTCAAAGAACTCAGTTATTTTAACTACATGCTTCCAACCAGCACTACAGCAGCAGTCAGAGGTGGCTGAACAGAAGATAATGAAGCCTCATGTTCACACTAGATTGCACTGATGCTGTGGCACTCCCAGAGAACATAGGAAGAATAGCTACTACCACGCCTCAGAAACATCATCATGTTCCAGTGCAATCAGGGACCTATACTATGCAAGACCAGATTCTGCAGCAAGAATCCAATAATAGTCAAACCCTAACTTCCAAGAAGTGCTGTTTCCCTCCCATTGCTATATAATAGCCTTCATTTCTGTGCTCTCCATTCCCCCTACAGCCTTGCAGCTGGTGAGAGAAACGCACTAAAATTTGTCCAGTTGTTTCCAAGTTAATTTGTTATGTTCTCCATGGCTGCCTGGCTCCAGACCTCAAGTAATCCCAAATCAGAAGCTCTCTTTCAGTATGTTCCAAGGAAACAGGGAGGTTGAGAAGAAAAAGGAACCTTTTAATCTGGGGACATGACCCATTAGAGTCAAGATATCTGTCCCCCTCACAGTCCTTGGCTGCAAGCTGAACTCCAGATCTGGTTCCTTGATCCCATGCAGTTTAGCTCCATGAAATAGTGCAGGAAGTTAATCCAATTAACCCCCAGTTGCAAGTAGGGGTGCACTGATAGAGATTTTTGCAGCTGATACAGATAGCTGGTTTTTAAGAAGGCATATTGGCCCATATCGATCTGATTTCCAATACAGCTGAGTCCAGCTGATAAGTTTGTTGTGGTGAAAGTGGAGGGGGAGGGAAGGGGTGTGGGGGTGCAGATCAACATCCCCCGCAGTGAGGGAGGGAGTGAGCCTGGGGCAGGCACTGCCCAGCCAGGGCAGGGTGGACAGCTGTTGCTGCTGCTCCTGCTGCTTGTCCAGGACGGCATGGGGGGTGGGTGCCCCAAGATCCGCGCGGGGTGAGCTGAGGCCAGGGGCCACACTGCACTGTGCCTGGGGTGGGCGGTGGTGGCAGCACTGGGAGGGGGGCAAGAAGGGGCTGCAGCCATCCCAAATTTTGCCCTAGGTCCCCCCCATAACCTCTTCTCTGCGCTGCTGCCACCCACGCCAAGCACAGCGCAGCATGGCCCCTGGCCCCAGCTGCAGCCCGCCATGCGCAAATTCAGGGGGCCAGTGCCTCCCCCCTCACCCTGCTACTCCCCAAGCTCTGCATGCACACACAAGCGTTTATTGGTCAAATTATCAGCCACATCAGGCCAATTTCCAATACATCAGTCTGATATCAGATCAGAACTGATATAAAGAAAGTTGTCCACATCAGTGCACCTCTAGTTGTGAGGGAAGGGAAGGCAGTTGTTGGTGGGATGGGGAATGAGAGTGCACTGTGTGTGCCTAAGGTGATGTCTGTCTAATCTCTATGGGATACTATAAGGTGCTCTGTGTTTGAGTGATGCCTGCTAGTCAAAGCGCTGCACTATCCAAGGGGTATAAAGTACTGGGTTAAAGCAGCAGTATGTTGGAGGAAGGAATAATGGAGGAAGGAATAATGGAGGACTGAAGTAGG